TCCAGGTTCCTCCTGCGGAGCCCCCGGCTGGGGGTGGCTTGGAGGGGGAGAAAGGCTCCCGGCGGGGACGAGGGCCCGAGGCGAGCCCGACGGAGCGGACATTCCTGCCGCCGCCGCCGCCTGCTTTCTCGCGCAGCCTCCGGGGAGGAGGGAGACAACTAGGGCGAGGTGCCGCCGAGGGGCTCCCCGGAGAGCCCCCCGTGGGTGGCACGAGGAGGAGGAGGAGGACCCCCCCCGCGCGCCGCCCGGGAGCATCTCGGCTGGGGGGTCATCAAGTGCATCGCTAGGAGGAGGACGCTGCAGCAGGGCCGGGCTTCTCGCGCGTTGGCCACGGTCCCTCTGAAGGCTGGTCGCGATCCGGCCGCGCCTCTTCCCGCGGGGGTTTCAATCGCTGCGGGGAGTTCTGCTCAGACTCCCCTCCCTGAACCGCCTTCACTGCGCGCCATTGTTAGGGCGTTCTTTTCTTCCGTTGCTGTCCTTCTCCCGTGCGCGCATAGGCGTGCGTCCGAAGCTCAGGCTCCCTTTGGACAGCTCCACGACCTCTCTGCCAAGGACTCCGGACCCTCTCAGTCTCCTTCCCTTCGCCTCTCTTCCGTGGAATACTGGGGTGGTGGTGGGGGTGCAGATCTACATAAGAGTAGCCCCATGACTTCAGTGGATTTACCCTTAAGAAGCCCATGCTGGATCAGGCCAGTGGCCCATCCACTCCAGCACTCTGTCACACAGTGGCCACAAATCAGGAGGTCCAGCAGTGGGGCCAGGACTCCAGAAGCCTACCCACTGTTGACCCCCCACCCCAAGCACCAAGAAGACAGAGCATCACTTGCCCCAGAGTCCCCATCTATACCTTGTGGCTAATAGCCACTGATGGACCTCTGCTCCATATGCTTATCTAATTCCCTCTTGACGCCGTCCATGCCTGTAGCCGCCACCACTTCCTGTGGCAGTGAATTCCACGTCTTCATCACCTTGTGTCAATCATGGGATGCTCTCAGACTCTGACACAGAAACAGGAGAGTGGGGTTGGGGAGGAGATTTGGCACTCAAGGACAACTCCCCCACAGACTCCCAATCCTGAATGACTACTTGGCTGAGGTGACTGACAATGCCAGGGGCAAGGATGGGCTTACGCGAACGGCTTCGCAAGAGGGGAGTTCAGACAGCTGGAAACACAGAGTGGAAGCGCTGCTGGCCTCCCTGAATACTGGACTTTCCCCAGTGCCTGATCTCTTCCAAAGCAAAGCAGGGTGCTGATGATGGGGGAATGGAAGAAGAAGAAGAGACTGGATTTATATACCCCGCCCTTCACTACCCAAAGGAGTCTCAGAGAGGCTTACAGACTCCTTTCCCTCCCCCTCCCCACAACAGACACCCTGTGAGGTCGGTGAGGCTGAGAGAGCTCTTGACAGAAACGGCTCTTTCTCAAGCACAGCTCTGACAGAACTACGGCTTGGCCAAGGTCATCCAGCCAGCGGACTCTATCAGAAGCCTTGCTTGGCAAAAGCTCATCTGGCCATCCAGCAAGTGGAGGAGTGGGGAATCACACCCGGTTCTCCCGGATTAGAGTCCGCGCACTTAACCGCGACACCAAACTGGAAGGCAGATGTTGTTGGCTGATTGTGCTCTTTAAATCTGCAAAGGTAAGATATTGTTGGCTGATTGTTCTCTTTAACTCTGCAAAGGTAACACAACTATATCAGCGCAAGCCGCTTGTGTGACTGCAGCCATAGTGCTGTTTGTGCTGTAGTTGCAGCTGTTGCTGCTGAAGCAGTGTTTTAAACACAGCCAATCAAATCACCAACAGTCAATCAGAAGCCTTGCTTGGCAAAAGCTCATCTGGCCTCACCCACTTTCTTTAAAACACTTGGCAGGAAAGGTATCTGTGGGCAGAGACGGTTGGGGACCCCTGGCTTATGCTGATTTTAGCATATCGATGTGTCTGTTTGATCTTTCTCCTTCCTGTCCATCTCTCCAGCTTCATTTGTTATCCCTCTGACTACTTTCTGCAAACCAGAAAACCATGGATGGAATAACTCAGGCTATGCCTCAAACCACTGGATCTTATTCACATTTCTTAAACCTCTTGACGTCTCAGTATCATGCTTTGCTTGGTGCTGAATGACACACAAAATTCCTAAGGAGATCGGACGACAAAAGATGATCCCATTGCGTGCTGAAAGTTGTTGCTGCTGTTGTTCAGTCACACAGTTGAGTCCGACTCTTTGTGACCCCATGGACCACATCACGCCAGGCCCTCCTGTCTTCCATCATGCTCCAGAGTGTGCTTAATTTCATGTTCGTTGCATCAATAACACTGACTGACCATCTCATCCTTTGCCGTCCCTCATAGACGTGGCGAGGGGGCTTGTGCGGTTCGATGAGGCTGTGGGCTATGCCGTGGAGGGCCACCCAGGACAGACATGCCACAGCAGAGAACTCAGACCAAGTGTGATCCACTGGAGAAGGAAATGGCAACCCACTCCAGTATCTTTGCCGAGAAGACCCTGTGGACAGTAAAAAAAAGGCTGCTGAAAGATGTAGATGTAAAACTCCTGAAACATAGTAACTTTGTGTATGTTTCCTTCCTTCCTTCCTTCCTTCCTTCCTTCCTTCCTTCCTTCCTTCCTTCCTTCCTTCCGCCTGTCCATCCTTTTTTTCTAGTCTGCCTTTCTTGTAGGAACTCAAGGCAGATTACATATAGTGAGTTGGTACAATCAACAGAATTGGACATTCACCTAACCAATGCTTTAGGATTTTAGAATATAGCAAAGCATAACAAAAACCCGTGATTGTATTTAATGAGAAGCATATTGCATAATATGAGACTTAAAAATATTCCATTAAGCTTAATGTTAACATTCCTTAGATAACAAGAGCAATAACATCATTCCAGGAGCAATAACAAGGACAATCTTCAGAAGGCTTCAATAACGCAGCGATGAGTCCAGTACAGTGCTTCACAAGTACATCTTGCCTGTCTTCATTCTTAAAGTTGTAGACCACTGACTATGAAAGTGCTTCTTAGTGGTATAAAGTGCTCTCGTGCTTCATATGTATCATATCCATATTTTCCTAGTGCAATAGTCCATCCGATGGAATTTGCCAGCATAAACCTCTCTGTTTCACAAAGGCTTCCTCATAGACGGAAAATTGCATCACACAGAATTAAAAGATACACCAGCAACGATATAAGGCGCTCATACCATGGCAGAAGTTAAAAGCACCAAATTTTGAAATACAGAACAGGGTGGCCAATTCATAAGTAAGTAAATTCATACTTAGTATGTAAGTAAGTAAATTCATACTAAGTAAGTAAATTCATAAGTAAATAAATAGATAAATGCATAATCTCATATCATCAATGGTATGTTCAGTGTCCATGAAATGGGGGACCATTGGTGCTTCCCTCACCCCATTTCTACTCAAGCAATGTTCAAGGACACGGACTTTCACAGGGTGGGTTGTTCTACCCACATACAATTGGTCACAGGAACGGGAGACCACAAATGTCACATTACGTGTATCACAATTACTAAAAGTTCTTAAG